CGTGCTGAAGACAATGCAGAACCAATCTGGATCAAGCTAGGATCCTTCTCAGTACTCACACTAACAAGCATGATTTCATTCATTAAGGGCTTAGCATGCCTTTTATCTCTTTGGTTTTACTATTCTGACATGACCTGGGTTGGACCCTGCAGTTTTATAAAAGAACCAATCCTCCTCTCTCCCTCTCTACAGCCGACTCTCCTCTAATTTGAGTCCCAAATCAGTCAAATGAAGCAAGAAGGGAGAATAGAGGGTGTAGTGCCCTTACCCAACAAAACCCACTATTGGCATTATAACAATAATAAGGTAATGGGGCACTAATTAATCGTTTTGAATCTAATTATTTTGATCCGAATTAATTTCCAATTAAATTTCACCGTAGGTTCTAAAAATTATGCCAATCACAATGGCGTAATCGATTTCGGGTTTTGTGGCCGATAAGGCCTCCAATTTAATTTCCAAAGCAGATTATTCAAACAGATATTCCTACGGTGAACAGATAGAACTTCGAAATCACATATATTCACAAAATGACACATAAAATCATATTAAACACATCATCATACTCATATTAAGGACCAATTAGCATGCTACAGAACAGGGGTATTACAACACCTTCTAGCACAACACCTCCACCATCCATCCAAGCACCTTGGAACTGATTTGCAGAGGTTGAAGGCTCATTACCTTGGTCCAGAAGTTGCTGAGGGTCGGTCTACAAGGGTAAGCCTCTATTTTCTCATTTTTTGCATTATTTTGCTTTATATCTTAGCCCTATTTGCAAGCATTTTTGGGTTTCAACATAAACTGAAAAAAGTTTTCTTTTGAGCTTATAAACATGTTTGCTTAAGCTCATTTTTCTGTTGGGGGTCTTCTACCCCCTTCCATGCTTCATTTCCTCATGTTTTGAGCTATGCATTTGAGCATTTGCATTGGCCTTGGTTTGGCCTTTTAGCCATTGAAATCCAGTGGATTTTCTCTGGCTAACATGTGTCTTTAAGCTTCAAAATCATAGAGGGGTGACCCTCTCACCCCTTGTTCTCTTTACTAACTTTGTTGGCCTTCCAAAGGACCCCTTATTTGCATGTTTTGAAGTCATGTTTCAAGCCCTATTTGGTGAGTTTTAAGGTCTGCATAAGCTCTGTCCAGAGCCCT